AAACGGCCCTGAAAATCCCAGGTCGCTCGCTCAATTCGTTTTCGAGTTTTCGTGCGGACAGATACACAGACAGACAGACACACAGACACACAGACAGACAGACAGACAGAAAAAGTTTTTTCCGACCAGACGGAGTAATAGGCTTCGCTAATCGCTCAGCCAAAAATGCTTTAATTTGCCCAAAGTTCAAAATAAATGTCGAAGTTCCCCGAAGTTTAAAATAAATCGTAAAAGTTCACTGAAGTTCAAAATAAATGAGTACATATTTCAGGCTAAAATTAGTGATTTCGAGTGATTAATACAACTGAATCCCCAGCTTACTTAAAGCAGATATTTACGGTTTGAATTACAAAGGTTACGGAGCGAGAATTTTGCTTTCATAGCTCATGATCAGTTCGAAGTTCAAGAAAATTTGTAGAAGTTTAGCGAAGTTCACCAAAGTTACCGAAGTTCAGTAGAGATCACTGAAGTTCCGAAGTTCACCCAAGTTCAAAAAAACGGACACCGAAGTTCCAGCCTATTTCCCCTTGGACCCAGCTGCAAAACTGTACCCAGCTCCCGGTAGGATTTGATCAAACCCGACTTTGGTTTTCTGAAACCCGATGGGGATGGGGAAACGCAAAATCCCATCAGAGTTTTACTCAGACCAGCAGGGGATTTTTTGTACCCAGTCGAATCACTCGACTGGATTCATTAAGGGTACGCGGGAGACAAATCGGGGTTGCACTAGGATTCCGACTTCAGGAGTATCGCCTAAACTGTCAAGAGCTGTCCAGCGCGTCGCCATTGTGTTACAGACCGTCCAGCGTGCTCGACCTCCTCTCCCCGCCACCTCGGCTGGCCACCCGCCCGCCCGAGTGCGAGAGAGAAGGATGCTCGCTGCGGGAGGAGACACTGTCACTCATACAATGCACCTCCGCTCGCTCGGTGCACCTGTCATAAATCTGTTACAGCCGGCCGCCTCGCCAACCTCGCCCGCCTGGCCCGCTCCTGCCAAAACGCGGGGTAGAGCGGTTTGATGGCCATTTTCGGCCGTTTTCGTTCTATGATTACCCCTAAACTAAATTTCCAATCAACACGCGGTTGATTTAAGAGCATTCTTTGAACTTTCCTTTACTTCCCGACATTTTGATTTTTCAAATTAGTCCATTGGGAAGCTGCCCAGGTCTGTTTAAAAAGGGGGAAGAAAATGGCATATTTTGAGCTCAAATATTGGTCTAATGACGAACGATGTCCAAAATATCTCGACGTGAGGAAGTAGATTTCAGTGAGAACTATCGGCCGAATAAAACCGCATGCCAGTATCACTCATAGTTTGGCCGCAATTTTGGAACGAAATTGACAAAATTCCACATTTTGAGCTCAAATATTGGTCCAATGGCGAAAGAAGTCCAAAATTTCTCGACGTTAGGAAGTGGATTTCAGTAAGAACTATCATCCAGAAAAAACCGCATGTCAGTGTCGCTCAAGGTTTAGCGGCAATCTTGGAACGAAATTAACGCTATGCGACGATTTGTCTCCCGCGTACCCTTAAATCTGAACGGAGTCTGGATACTAGCAGAAATAGTGGGACCCGGTTGGGTCCAGAATGTACCCAACCGGAAACATAAAACGCACCAGTTTACCCCTACCCGATCGTGTTCCAGTGTTAACATGGTTCAACTTTGAACTGTGAAAATTTGGTTGTGGGTTCTAATGCCTCTGAAATCACTTTTTAACCCTGGATATTTTGTTGAATCCTGGAGAACAACGCCTTTACAAATAAACGAAAATAACATTTTGATTAAGACAAACGACAACATTTGAGCTTTAATTGATCCCGTTACTGTTTTGCTAGATTCGGCTATCCTCGCTCACGGTAGCTTTTTTAATGTAACCAAACGTACCGAAACATAAGAGAACATAAGTCGCTGTGGTGTGTCAACATGTGTCTCATGTCTTAAACATGTCTCCTATTCTCAGAAGCCTGCTGGCACGAGAACTATATCCGTATCTCTGGTTGGCTTGGCACCATCAATCAGTGCTTCAAAACGTTGCGGTGACTTCGGCGCCCATGATTGCGTGGTTGAGCACGTCCCTTTGCTGAACGCCTCATCTATCCAGTATTTAACCAGTTCGGTATACCCCGATATGGTTTCAAGGTGTGTACCATGTACTAGGTAGATGTACGCCAGACCACGTCTCGCGTAACAGGCTTCGCGATATCTCACGAAACACTGTTTCGCTGCGACGCGCCTGGCATACATCTACCTAGGCCTGCGGCGCTGACACCCGAGTCGGGCAAAAGGCAGAGTCGCAGATAGGCCTTCGGCACCAAAGGACGCACAAATTTTATCCCCAGGATTTTATTTTGACGAGTTGCCCCACCAGAGTCCATCAAATATCTGAGAAACAACATTAAAATGGTTTGGGGTCATTTTCGTGTTAAAACCGCCCTCTGGCCGCTAAACGGTTAGAGATATAGCCAAACGGACGAAATTTTTGGCCTCTGACGAGGTGCCCCTTGGGAAACTATTCAAAAATAATTGAAAATTCGCAATATTTTCCAAATGCAATTCAAATGCCTCGTTCTCGGCCAATTTTTGATCTAGAGGGCTCAAAATCAATGCAGTTCTTGATTTTTATGATGCAAAGCTACAGTACAAATTTCAGGTACGTAGCTCAAACCGTTCTCGAGTTATCGTGATACGGTATTCCGCTGCAAGCCAACTGGAACCTAAAGAAGAAAAGCATGACTGCTCGATCCGTTTCCCTCTTCGCGCTCATTGGCTGACCGCTACAGCCACGCCAACTTTGTCCAATCAGCGTTCAGGAGGAAATAGATCGGGTAGTCATGCTTTTCTTCTTTAGATTCCGATTGTGTTGTAGCGGAATGCCCCATTACAGACAAACACACACACGGACAGACACGAAACCTTTTGATCATCAGTGGAGTAATAGGCTTCGCTAAACGCTCAGCCAATCAAAACTCAACAAACGACGGATTCTTTTCATACGCTGAAAATATTTGGCTGTGTGTGCCGCAGTTTGTAGAATACATGCAAGTTTTGCCACGTCCCTTCTACGTTTTTGATGTTAGCTTATGGATCCAATAACAAACCTATGAAAAGATACACTAGGTAGATGTACGCCAGACCACGTCTCGCGTAACAGGCTTCCTGATATCTCACGAAACACTGTTACGCTGCGACGCGCCTGGCATACATCTACCTAGGCCTGCGGCGCTGACACCCGAGTCGGGCAAAAGAAAGAGTCGTAAATAGGCCTTCGGCCCCACAAGTCACAATAGGGTACCGCGCTCCGGGCGCGCGGCAGCTGAAGAAGAAGGCAAGAAGCACAAAGGCAGGGAGTGGGGGAGCGCGTAGCGGCAGCGCGGCCTGCCCCAACTCCTCACTTTTACATGATTCTTGCCTTCCTCTTCAGCCGCCGCGCGCCCGGAGCGGGGCACCCTATTCTTGCTGCCCAGGGTTTTATTTTGACGAGTTGACCCTTCAGAGACCATGAAATATTTGAGAAAAAACATTGAAATGGTTTTGGGTCATTTCCGTGTGGAAAACAGTGTCTGGTGCCTCAACGGTTAGAGATAGAGCCAAACGGACGAAATTTTCGCTCAGAGGGTGAGCTACCCGTCAGGAATCAGTAAACATAATATTTTTAAAAAACGTCATTTTGGGGACCTGTGGTTTTTGATTTTTTGAAATCCAGTCAGGTATTTTCTCTCGTGGCCGGCTCCAGAGAGGCTCTCTCTGATTGGTCGAGGCTTTGTGATGGTCCGGGAGCAGACGATATTCCTCTTGTTCTTTTAATTCGGAAAATACCTCATTTTTGAGCTAGAATGCTCTTCTTCGAACTTGATCTGTCTTTTTATGATACTAAACGACCCTGAAAATCCCAGGTCGCTAGTTCAATTCGTTCTCGAGTTATCGTGACGACAGACAAACACACACACACACAGACAGACGAGAAACTTTTTGAACATCACTAGAGTAAAAGGCTTCGCTAATCGCTCAGCCAGTAAGACTAGACCCAGAAGAAATAAAATATTCTTCCAGGCATACTCTGAAATAACTCCGAACGTGTACGCAATTATTTCGCTATAATTACTGATAGAACGTTAGCAGCTTGTGGAGTACAACAAAACAATGAAATAAATGTTTCGCCCCTCCCTACGTACAAGTGGCTATCTTTTTGGGCTTGCAGACAAAAGGCTATCTTTTTGAGCGTGGCAGACAAACGGCTAACTGCTTTTCCCACCTCGCGACTTTGGGTTCTAATATCTCCCAGTAGAGGTTGTGTAACACTATGAACGTTTATCCAATTACTCTTTGCGGTGGTCAAAGCAGGAAATTTCTTACCCGGTAATTTTATGTCTCTTGCTTCGGGAGTTATTCAATATAAATGTGGACAACCCTAACCTCAAAAAAGAGCAGATAGCCGTTTGGCTGGCACGCTCAAAAAGATAGCCGCTTGTGCGTAGGGAGGGTCGGTTTGTTTGTTTTTGCAAGGGAGTGTACACATTTTATTAATGATCTGCCACCATGAAATAAGCCCACTCTTCTGCTTAGAAGAAAATTTTGAACCGATGGCATACTTCTCAGACAAAAGTGTACTCCTTAAAAAATTAAAAAGCTTCTGTTTTGGCCATTTCGGTAAGATTAATTCCCTTTTCCAAGTAAACAGTGAAAGCCAAACGGATGACATTCTAGCTCCGAGGGTTCTTCTTTCACGATTTACCCCTTTGGAGACCATCAAATATTTTCTTAAAATAATATTTATTATTGGGCCACTTTAGTGAGTCAGTCAATAGAGACGAAAAGCACCCCTGACCTCAAAAAAATTGAAGGCATAGGTTTGCTGGGCTCGTTGGAAAGGTCTTTGTGCGTACTAGCACATATCAAAATTCCTCCGAAATCCATCGTGGGCAACTCTCGGTACATGGAACAGAAGTTGGACACCCTAATCTTCCGAGTTTGTGTGTTTGTACGCTTGCTGTGAGCGAATGGTTCCAACTAAAACAACGCGCTATAGCTCATTCGAAGCGGGAGAGAACAAGCTTTCCAACAATATACGGGTGTTTCAATTTTGAGTAACGGACGCATATTTAAATTGCGTAAGAAACTTGAACTTTTTTTCAGAAAATGTACAAAAAGTGTTCATACCCGTTCTACTCGACAACTAGTGCAAATATTGGAAAAGTACCTTTTACAAACGTTGTAACAAATTTAATTCTGAACAATAAAAGGGTAAATCGGGTAAGTAGAGCTTTTTGGGCGAAAATTTCGTCCGTTTGGCTCTATCTCTCACTGTTGAGACGCTAGAGGGAGTTTCTCTTCCAAAAGTGGCACATAAATAAACATGTGATTTTTTGAAAATATTTGATGGTCTCCCAAAGGGGTAAATCGTGAAAGAAGAACATTCGGTAAATGTCGGCCGTTTGGCTATTACTGTTTACTCACAAAAGGGAGGTTTTCTTTCCAAAGTGGCCAAAACAGGAATATTTTAATACTTTTCAGGAGTACACCTTTGTCTGAGAAGTATGCCGTCGGTTCAAAATTTTCTTTAAAGCACAGGAGTTTGCATAGTATGGGGGCACATCATTAATAAATTGTGTACACTCCTATGCCAAAAAAGAAACAATAAGTTTAGAAGGTGTGGTCATATTTAGCCAGACCGAGATTTATATAAAAATTCACGTCACGACAATACACCTCGCACAAGTCCGATGGCTGTACGATGAGGGGAACCCTAGGCATCTCGCGTGAAAAGTTTCAATACCCGTTTAGGCGTGAACTCGGCATATCTCCACTCAACGCGCTTGAGAACATGGCGGCCGAGTTTACGCCCAAACGGGTATTGAAACTTTACACGCCAGTTGCATAGGGTTCCCCTCATCATAGAGCCATCGGACTTGTGCGGGGTGTGTTGTCGTGACGTGAATGTTCGTTCTGGCAAAATCGGTGACCACACCTTCTAAAATGAAACAACCTAAGGGACGGGCTGAAGGCTCGTCCCAAACGCCGCCGCCACGGCAAGCTAGGCCCGCCTCTTGCGGAACCGATTTGCTGGTGGAGCGAAGCGGAGCTGGCAACTTGGTTTGACGGAAGAGCGGGCCTAGCTTGTTTTGAGAAATTGTATTCCCCTCCTTTAACCTAAGTATCATATATTGGGCACGAACTTTTATCCGCGATTGTTTAGTATACATACAGTCAACAGTGACAACCTCAAAGTATGAATCGATTCTAGATTTTATATTGTATGAGTCCTCTTTTGAGTGGCGGAGACAGAGAACCAGTGGTGGACTGTGCAGATCCGTTGCGCTGCTCTAGGGTACTTGACCGAAATAATCTCTTAACCACAGTTTATAGATTACATCTCCAAACGTTACTGTCATAGGCAATTAGATGGCTGTTTGGTGCACGCTGACATGGCCGTCGATGAATCAGATACGCTATGCGGTAGTTCGAAAGCGCCGTCTATGGAACACATGATTGTTGACAACATCATTACGTCTGTCGCCCATTACCGAAACATTTATCTGAAGAAGAATAAGTCAAAGGACGCTGGTTATGGGGATCCAATCAACGAGACCTTTTCAGGTATCATACACGAGAACTCTGAAAGTACTTCCTGTGTGTTCGTCAGACCACGTATCAGGCTTCGCGATACCTCAGCAAACACTTTCACTGCGCCCGGCGTGCCTACATCTAGGATGGTGGGATTGCGCTGCTCAAAGCCTACCTTTCCCTTTACTGATACTTGAATATTTTAAATAGTTACAGGGCCACATAAAAAGTTGCCACTGATTAAACAGTCTCAACATTAACCCTACAGTAAAGTGAAAATGTGATCTCAAAACCATTGGAGGTAGAAGGACCAGACGGAGCAATAAGCTTTGGGGCATTCCAAACTAGATTTATTAAAATAAAAGTGATCCCTTGGGGGGAAAATGGCCCTTGAAATAGTCCTTATAAAGATACATTTTCCTGATTTTTCGGAGCTCTGTAGCTCAAACGGTTCAGAAGTTATAGGCATTTGACGTTTTTAGCCCGCCCTTCTGCTTTAAAAAAGCTATCCAGCGGGCTTATGCAAACGACCTCGTGTCTGTCTGTCTGTGTGTCTGTCTGTTCCACAACAAGATGTGCTATAGACTTGAAATTTTCAGGGTATATTAAGGTCTACTTCTAGAGAACGAAACGCCTACGGCAAATCCTGGCAACCACCCCTAAGGGTGTGAATGGGGGTATCCAAGGTTCAAAAATTCTTCCAAA